CGCGACTTAGCTGCCACCACAGAGCTGGCAGGTATTTTGTTGTTAAGGTTGGGCTGTAGGTAAGTGTATTCAAAACATGACTTAACCCGCCTGGAAAACTTCCCAGATTCGTTGCCAAGATGCATGCCAAGAGGATGGATTTTGGAAAAAATTGAATATATTGCTTAGTCATCAGTCTGCACACAGAAGTTGTAGAGGGAGAACATACAATGATGATGAGTCGGCACTCCATATGGAGGTGTATGGCAAAGGTCCTGAGGCTGGAGCTGGCTCAGAATTGAAATTTATTTCAGTGTTTGAATAAAGGCCCAACAAATACTGTGTGCTGAACCATCAGTGCACAGTCAAACACACAATTTCATTTTTTTTTTTTTCTTCTTAAAGTGTCCCTAACAGTCGGGCAAACATGAGTCATAGTAATGGAAGTGCTGGAGCTGATTCTCCTGTCTGGGGACCTTCGCTTCCTGTCACATCACGGTTTACTGTGTCCAGATTTCCTGCCTGCCTGAGAAGAGAAGATTAGAGAGCTATTTTTTTTTTCCTCTCCTCCTCTTATTTGCATCTTTGTCAGAAATACAACTCAGTGAACATATGTGTAATCATATGTGAGTCAATGTGAAACTGTAAATACACATTCATCCCTTTTAAAAAAAAAAAAAAAAGGTTTGTTGCTGTTGTTTGTTTAATGCTCAGCAGTGATTACTTTTTTTTTTTTTCCTTTTTTTTAAATGTCAGTCATTCACTGACAGGGTGATCCAAGCCACTGATTTCCAACCAGGGAAAAAGTACCAGAGGAGGTGTTTTTTCTGTAGCACTATTTTAATTGAAAAGATGAGTGAACCTGAACAAATTTGGCCTGAGAAGTTAATTAAAAGTAATTAATAAATGCAGACAGAACAAAAGGTAAGGGGTGACTGGGTAAAATTGCTATTTAAAATGATGTTCAGAGCAGTTATTAAATTACAAATGAAAATTGATCAAAGTTCAATAATGACTGAAATGGCTAAAAGTAATTCCTAGAGACTTTGTGTAGTTAAAACTGTAACTGCTCAAAGCTTTAACATATCTGATAAACTCTCTGACAGTTTGACATGATGACAAATGATTAACATTATAAACAATTAGGAGTTAAATAACAGTTGATTGGAATTGCTTCAGAGTTGGAGGGATGATGTTGTTCCTGTGGGGTTTGTCAGATTATAAAAAGGCTAGGGAGCACTAATCAAGTCCACCATGAAGGCCTCCATTGTTTCATCGATGGCTCTGAATCTGTGGTTGGAAACATCGAGCATTAACTGAGATTAGCAAACAAATCTTCCCTCAGCTCATTCTTTCCACATCGTGTTGTCTCATTGTCCTTTGAGGTCACTTGTGAACTGAGGTCGTGGAAGATGGTTCACTTTCTAATTAGCTATAAAGAGCACAATGAGGGGTTTTGTTTTTGTTTTTTTAACATTTGATACTGAGTTGTATGGGTTATGGTACATGTACCTCATGTGACTTTGTATCTGCGTGCAGAAATGCAACCCTGTTATCCATGTAGCTGCAGCCTGGTAGCAGAGGGGTGGGTCACAGCTTTCTGCACTGGAATGCTCAGCAAACTCAGCAGTTTATACACACACACACACACACACACACACACACACACACACACACACACACACACACACACACACACACACACACAGCTTCTCAGCATCTGAATCTAGTTGACCTGTTCAAGTTGCACTTTTGCATAGAAACCTTGTGAGTAAACCTCTGAGCACTCCGGTGTTGTTTATAACTTTCCTCTAATTAAAATATTGTGTCAAATCTGGAATAAAAGTTGTGTAAATGATTAGCAGGTGTTTCCCAGGACAGTTCGGGTCAGCTACATCTGTGCATCATTTGCACAAAGGTTTGTAACAGAGGTTTTGATAGTCCTTTTTATCTTGTTCCGTTCCAGATTTATATTTTTGTTCTTTGACTAGTTTTCCATGATTCATACTTGCAAATAGTTATTTTTCTATGGGGCCTTGGTTTAACACATGGAAGATAAACATTTTGAAATGGTTTTCTTGTCACTAAATCTTTTTCTTTCTCTGTCTCGTCTCTTTCTTTGCAGAAGAGATAGACTATACCAACTTTGCCTCCAACACCATAACACGTAAGAAGAAGCCTGTGGTCGCGCTGCGCAACGACGTCAACCGCAAGCGTCCTCACATCCGCATCGGCATGCCACAGGACTTCCGACCCGTTTCCTCAATCATTGATGTGGACATCTTGCCTGAATCTCACCGCCGTGTCCGCCTGTATCGCCACGGTTCAGACAAACCTTTGGGCTTTTACATTCGAGATGGAGTCAGCGTGCGCGTGACTTCTCACGGACTGGAGAAAGTACCTGGCATCTTCATATCTCGGCTGGTGCCTGGAGGTTTGGCGGAGAGCACCGGGCTGCTGGCGGTTAATGACGAGGTGCTGGAAGTGAACGGCATTGAAGTGACGGGGAAATCCTTGGATCAGGTAACAGATATGATGATCGCCAACAGCCACAACCTGATTGTTACCGTCAAACCAGTGAATCAGCGCAACAACGTTGTCCGCAGCAGCAGGATCTCCGGCAGCTCGGGCCAGTCGTCCGATAGCAACGGCTCAACCGGTCACATGTATGTAAACATAGGGGGGATGCCACCTTCTGGGGCGCATGGTTATCAGGATGACCTGGAGAGTGACGAGGATAATGACGTCGTCATAGAGAAAAACATCAAGAGGCCATCTCAGAGGTCCAATGCTTCGCTGGCATCCAGTGCGTCCCGCACACAACACCAGAATCCGACCACCACCTCAGGCTCGGCGGCCCCTCCGAGCCCTCCCACACGACCACTATCGGTGGTCTCCACTGCTTCATTCCACTCCCAGCAGAGTCTAAATGGAGGGTCCCACCACCACCAACACAGCAGTCTTAGCTACCAGTTCCACAAAGACCTTAACCTTCAGCATAACCCACACCAGCAGTCCCTTCACAGCCATCAACCCCACGCGCAGCTTCATCATACCAGCAACCCAGCCCTCCGCCACAGCAACGGCAGCCTGCACAAAATCCTCAGCTCACTGAAAACTGACCCACGAAACAGTCTCGCACTTCCCAGAGGAGGGGTGGAGGAGGACGGCACTGTCATTACCCTATAATACTTACAAACACAGACACACAAACATCCCGACTGCTCAGAGACTAAACTGGAACAGCTAAATAATGAGCATGTGCGTGTTTTGTCAGATACTAACTGTAACTTCTGTCTGGTTTTACAAAACCTTTGATGTTAGGAAGTTGCAAACAGGAAAGAGCATTGTGTACATATTTCTTGTGTTTGTTTTTTTTAAAGTCATCTTTATCATACATGAGAAAATTTGTATGTTTTGTAATAAGCATCAGAACAAATAACTGTTTTTAGGCGAGTCCACTATCGTAGTTCTGAATGTACCTACAGCCTCATGTCTTTACTTAGTGACCACTTTTTATTAAGACCCTTTTCATTTTTCTTACTGGGACCAACTGGGGTTTGTTTATGTGGATGTTTTAAAGAGTAAATCTATATTTCTTATATTCTGATGAATGCTGTGTAGAGTGTTTTTGTTTTTTTTAATAGGTCTTTTATGCTTTATGATCAAATCCGTGTATCTGTTTCAATAAATTATTCTGTCTCATAATTATGCAAACTATAAATGTGATGTTTGCTCCACTACTTATGCACTTAATGGCTTCTAAATTGAGACAATCATTTCTGCATTTATATAATTATCTTTTTAGCTTGTTAGAGCTTTCAAACTACAACTGGTCACTTCATTAGGCACACCTTATTGTTGTTTTAACTCCTTATTCATGGCACTGATTCACAGAGGTGCTCATTCCTCTGATATCATAGCTACAGATTTCTCGACTAATGTCATTATCCCATTCCACCACATTCTTAAGAATTGAGAGCTGATGACAATAGAGGCCATTTGAGTACAGTGAACTCACTGTCATGGTCAAGAAACCAGTTTGAGGTTTGATTTGAATTCTGTCATGGTGTGTTATCCTGCAGGAAGCAGCCGTGGGTACAGTGTGGTCATAAAGGGATGGAGATGGTTGGCAACAACACTTTGGCTGTGTGTCGCTCTGCACTAAAGACCCCAGAGCATGCCAGGAAAATATACCCCACACAGCTACATCACCAGCTTGAGCATCTCTGAAAACAACATCTACACACCGTGGTTCTAACAAGTGATTTGTTACTGCAACTTAGAGCAGTGTGACCATTCTCCTCTGACCTCTGACAACAACTCATTTTCACCCAGAGAACTGCCACTCACTGGATTGTTTTATTTATTTTGGGGGGGTGTTTTCTCTGTAAACTCTAGAGATGGCTGTCTGGGGAAAATCCCAACATATCAGCAGTTTCTGAAATACTTAGACCAGCCCATCTAAGTATTTCAGCTATGCCACTTAAAAGTTACTTAAATCAACTTTCTTCTACAACCTGATGCTCTGCATGAACTTCAGCTGGTTTACTGACCACATCTACATGCAAAAATGGATATGAGTTATGTTATATACAATTTATATAGATATTTGCGCTAATGAGCAATAGTACAGGTGTACCTAATGAAGTGGCCAGTGAGTGTATTTACTTTAAAATGTATTTTTGTACTGAACAGACACAAGATGCTGTTAAGCACAGATGACTGCATGAATTGTACTAAACAAAATGGAAAAATAAGTTTTGGTTTCAAACTAAAGGCCAGAAGATTTTCATTCAACTCAAAGCTGATGGTGAAGCAAAGAGGCTGACATTCCAGTTCAGAGTAACTACACTCTAAAAAATATTCCTTGTGTTTGTCGGTAGAACTTAACAAAAAAGCATTTTTCTGGTAAAAAAAAAAAGTAAGTTGCCTACATGTACACGTTTCAGTGAGTTGAATAATCAATGTTAGAAGTTAGTGCAACACAAAAATTAAAAAACAGCTCCTTAACTTAAATGTTTGAGTATATTGAATAAAATACTTTTGTCATCAATCAACAACAGAAAATATTAAGTTTGTGTAACATGTAAAAATGAGTTTCAACATCCTTCCTGTTTGAATTGAGACCATTCAGACAGACGAGGGCAACCCCGTAGCATATGTTCGTATCTTGCGCAACAGTTTCTGGATTCTTGTGGCTTCGTGGGAGAAGAGGTGTGTTTGCCCTCGACTGTGTTCGGTGAGTTAAGTACTGAATTCTAAATAGATGAATTACAAGTTATATTTGTACACTCTAAAATGTCATATTTTAAAAAAAACTGAAATTTGATGGTTTAAATCGTAATTTAGCAGAGTAGAGCTGTTGTTGTTTTTTTAAGTTTAGCTAGCCGTTTCTTTTAGCTAGCAAACGTTCCTCACAAATAAAAGAGACATTAAAACATGTCACTTGTCAGGGTACATTTGGTTAGCTGATAGACCATGCCGACAGCAGAGCATGTTCAATTTGAACCCGTATATGTTCAAATTAACCGGTCAGTAGCTGCCTGCATTTTCATCATGGTGTCAGAGTAAATTCGTGTTTCCACAAGATGGTCTCGGGTGAGGTAACTAATTACTGATAGAGTAAAATGTGGTGAATTTATCCCTGACTAAAAGTAATTGCTCATTTGAACATATGCTTCTCATAGGAACCGAAAACACACTCCTCACTCATTGGATGACTTCAAGCCTGAGCTGATACAGAGGTGTGTCAGTCGTTTGAATGCAGGAGATGATCCTCTTGAGGAACATAATGAAAATCCATTGTGTGAAGATGTAGCAAATGAAGAGGATGAAGAAATTGGGGAATTGCCTAATTTAATTGAGAAACATTTAGCCCACCTACTACTAAAACTGGAAAGTATATATAATGTACCTCGCAGGTGTATTGATGAATTAGTTGTTACAGTTACAGTTATAGTTCATGTCATCCTCTGATTCAGGTCCTATTCATCAAAAGCACAATTGTGCTGTTGATGAAATTTAGGTTACATTTACTTTTAGTCACTTCATCCTATTGCTAGCAAAGTGGGCAGTTAAAGCAGGCCAGTGTGTAACAGTTTAAATTGAAGTTACAAAGATTACATCTTTATTTCTTTTAAAAACATATTTAAAATCAATATTTGGCACAATGCAAGTCACATAAATGTAATAGTTTTGACTTTTCACCTAATAAACTGTAAGTTTAAGTTTTGTTTTGCTTTTTTTATTCTCCAGAGTTCGGTGGAAATGAAGAGAGAGGTCGCAATCCGTTGCCTGAAGGTGTATCTGAAAGAGAAGGAAGAGGATCTCTTCAGAGAACAGCTGGTAGGTGAATCTCGCATTCTTTTGTGTTTTATTTTTAAATGGCACATAAAATGCTGACATGTTTCCATTTAAACTACCTACTTGCCAGGATGGTGAACAACAGTTCCCAGAAGAAATGGTAAAGATTGTAGTCACCAGACGTGCAGCAGTGTCTCTCAAAGCTGTCGCTAAAATTGTGATTGAAGGAACAGCAGTCCTGGAAGACCTTGATGTGCCCAGAGTGTGTGCCTTAATGATGGGGCTTATATACACTCTCAATCTGAGCTACCCAAAACAAGTAAAGAACACTAGAGGTATTTCTGGAACTTGATGGGCTTAAACCAGTCCACGGGTAATGTCTGTTAAGTGCAAACTTCTGTCATGAAACGAATGTGAATTGGACTGTAGTATTCCGATGTGCCTCTTACGTTTTTGTATGCAGTCCTAGATGAGTGTAGTTTTGAGAAAAGTTTGTAATACATATAATCTTAGCTTTGGATTGTTCTGTTGTTGAACATTAAAATCTTTTGTCATTTCCTTGATTCTGCGACAAGTTGAACAAGTTGATACCAATTTAAGTTAATGTTAATGTACATGAAGTACTTTTTTTAGTCATTTATAATTAAAGGGCTGCTGTAATGTTTCATTTATGTTGTATTGACACAGAAGTGTATTACTTTGAAAATGTTTTGTAATAAAATAATCAATTGGAATAAGTGAAATGGCTTTGTGTGATTTTAGAAAAGCTACTATAGAAACCTAAACTAATTGACATGGATAATTGTGAGTAGGATATATGTAAAAAAGTTCGTTGGTGTAACTCAACTAATGTAATTTCTCAACTTAATTTTACCAGAAATTTTAAATTAATATTAGGTTGAATAAACTTAATTATGCTTGTGGAGGTCAAGGTAAATCATGTTGGTTTGTTAAACAAGTTGAGTTAGCCAAACCTAAAAATTACTTGCTGAATTTACTTAATAATATGCAAAATTTGTAACTTAAAAAGCTGAGTGGAAATTGTTACCTTACTTTTTTAAGTTGAGGCAACAAAATATTTTTTAGAGTGTAGGAACTCATAACCACACAGTGTGGCATAAGTGGTGTGAATTTCTGGAGCACCATTTCTGAAGCTTAAGTAAAAGTAATCTTGACTCGTGTAAAACCACAAAGACTTGTGGCTATTTAAAGGTGATGAGTCTGTAGTGATGTCATCTGCACCTCATTCAAGTCATTAAAAGCTACAGTGAAAGCCACAAATCCTAGGCTTTTAGAAAGCAGTAGTCAGGCTGAAGGAGAAGATAAGAAATTAAGGTCTTGTTTCACAAAATAATTCACTTTAGACATCACAAAGTCAAGATGTAGACTATCTGAAGGTTGAATTCCTTGAGTCGGGTACAGCTTTATCATCATTTTGCTTTTGGCTACAGCCTCTGCTTCCAACCTAGATATGCAACTGGAATGCATGTCAGAGGCCCTCCGGCAGCAAACATCTTTCACTTCTCTGCTAATGAATATTTTCCTCCTGTGTTTGTTCAGGGTGCCACACTGCTCATACATCTAATAGATCCTTCACACCCAACTAGTCAGCACTGTCAGTCAGCAGACTGTGGGTTTAGCCGGAGACCTGAAATCCTAACTGTCACGCAATCAGTCTTCACTATCTGTGTCCTTTTATCAGAGTCAGCCGAGGAAGGGCAGTTACAGTTAGAAACAGTTATGTTATGTTCCCCACATGTGATACAGATGTTCAGCTGATAGAATATAGGATTCAAGCGCACACCGATTAAAGCCGACAAACTCAAAATAAACAGACGTGGCCGCCTTAATGCTTTCTTGGACATGAACACGTCCAACTGAAGATCTGAGGTTCAGAGGGAATTATTGGAAACGTCTGCACAAGCCTGACGGATTTGACAGGTAATCCTTTTCATTGGATACTTTGTATGCTAAAACGTGTTAAACCCCTTTGATCATAGGCAGGTTTTTTTTTCTGCATACAAAACATGTTGACCTGCGTCAGACATCTGAACTCCCCCAAGTCCCCATGCCGTATTTCACTCTGCCACATGCTGGTCGACACTGGAATAACACGTACTGAAATGTTAAAAGTTACTGTTGTATTTTATCAGACCAGACAATCTTTTTTTTTTTTTTTATTGCAAGAGTCCTTAGTGCTTGTTGGAAAAAAAACCTACAGCACTTTCCACAACATAAATATTTAATCTTTTCCCAAAAGTAAACTACACTTGCCTCTTTTCAATGCTCTCGGTGTCAAATCATACAAGTTCATCCATGTAGAAATCGATTTTAGAAATTATTTGCTAACAGGGGTGTCACATCTGATTATGCTTATGCTTCTCACTGGCTACCCAACTGCCACCGATGCCTCTCCCAAAAATGGTGGCACATACAGGAGGTCGGTGGTCCGATCCCCAGCTCCTGCATCCGTATGTTAAAGTGTCCTTGGGAAAGATAAATACATACATACCATATGAGTTTGCATGTGTATGAAAGAGTTAAAGATGTGTCTGTGGATGTGCAGCTTCCAGTGTATGTTTATGTAGAGGGGAGAAGACTTGGATGGTAAGACAAAATTATAAGTTCTCACAGTGGATTAGTAGATAGTTGTGATCACTGCTGTGAAATTCAACTTAGGGTTCAGTATTGTGTGATTAATCTTACTAACTTGATAGCGGAGCACCACAGTGGTGCATCAGCACACAGGTTTAAACCTGTCCAAAGACCCCGTCAGGTTAATTGGGGATTCTAATTGGCTGTTGGTGTGATGATAAATGGTTATCTGCCTTTCTGTGTTAGCCTGTACCCAGCTTTTCACCCAATTTTAATGTTATGTCCAGTTTAGGCAGTTTAGATTAGGCTACCCAAACCAACTTGGCGACCTACAGAAAATACTCTAAGAGTAAAAGTATGAATTTTGCACTCTACCAGAAAAAGGTGAAAAAGCTTAATGCCCTCATCTCAAATCTGGCAGCAGGACAATGATCCAAAACACACCAGCAAGCCCCCCTCTGAATGGCTTACAAAGAAAACCAAAAAAACAAAACAAAATTAAGCTTTTGGAGTGGCCAAATCAAAGTGTGGACTTAAATCAGATTTTGATGCTATGGTATGACCTTAAACAGGACATTCATGCCTGAAAACCCTCCAGTGAGGCTGAAATAAACAAATTCTGCAAATAAGAGTGGGCCAAAATACTTTCACAGAGATGTGTAAGACTTGCTGCCACTTAGCACTAAGGCTTGATTGCAGTTCTTGCTGCCAAGAATAGCACAACCAGTTATTAGGTTTAGGGGAGATTCCTTTTTCACACAGGGTCAGGTAGCTTTTTTTCCTTAATAAATGTAATCATAATTTTAAAACTCCCTTATTTTATTCACTTTGGATATCTTTTTCTAATATTAACATTTATTTGATAATCTGAAATGTTTAAGGGTGACAAATATGCAATAACAAAAAACCCAACAACAACAACTAAGAAATCCAGTGTTGGGTAAGTTACTTTAAAATAGTAACTTAGTTACATTACTAGTTAATTCTCTCAAAAGTAACTCAGTTACTTCAAGTTACTCGTTACTTTCAAAGTAACTAGTTACTAGGGAAAGTAACTTTGGTTTTACTCAGAATTCTCTTGTTAATGTGTTGCTTCCATAACTTTGCCAGTCTTCTAGCTTGCTTACTTGCCACAAGTGCACTGTGCCACCTACCAATAGAAAGGAAAAGATAATGTGCATATTTCCATGAGAGAAATCCCACGCCTGGACCGTCATTGACTGCTGCCATGATTCTAGCCTACGTCACAGCGTCATGCGCGCCTTTTACATCCAACACATAAACTGGAGTCGTGGTGCTTTCGATTGTACTCAGAACTCGGAAATTCTGCTTTCTGAATAGGAAGATGTAGGCAACACCAGACTGCAGATGAGCTGCATACAGGGCTGGACTGGGACAGAAAATTGGCCCGGGCATTTTGACTAGAGACCGGCCCACCATTATAGGAAAAATCATAAAGCCTTTGAATGAAAATAAACACTGTTGTGACAGTGATGTACACTGTTTTGATGGTATATATGCATCAATCTATCAATCGTTTGTTGTAAGATTCAGATAATTATTTTTTAAAAGCTAGACATTTTAAATGAGAATAAGAAAGAAAAGTATTTCTTTTTGCCCCCCTTTCCCTGTTAATGCCCTACATGCCCCCCTGGCAACACTTTGCTAGATCTGCACCTGCACAGTTACCAGCTGTCAGCTACCTAAAAAAGGATCCTGGTGTTATTTGTCTCTCAGAAACAGTTCATAACTTCCCTTCAACTCATTCATGTCACCTAAAAGGTAAACCTGTTTCTCCATCACCTGCTCAGCTCTGATGATTCAGTAAGGACATCTCCTGGTTTCATCTTCATGTTTCCCTCTCACCAGATAACCAAACCATATCATGACCAGCAGCTTTACAGCTGTGGCTCCAGCAAACATCAGCTGATACTAGAAATTAATATTAAATAAATTCTAACAATAGCTGATCAAGCTTAAACGTGCTGCTGTTGTTTACCGCGACATCCGCTGGTTTCCTCTTTCGGCAAAGTGAGCGATAAACAAACAAGAGAGCCGATCAGCTGATCATTGATCAGTTTTCATGATTGAAGCAGAAACGGGAGAGGGAGGGGGAGAGGATGAGAGAAGAAGAGGCAGCTGTGCAGCAAAGACACAGAATAACTCCAGCTTTGTGCCTTTTTCATTGTAGCTGAATTACGGGACAAACTGTTCCTTTTCACCTCAATAAGAAACGCGTAATATTTTCTCTGAATACCAGGCGGGAAGGTTGGCAACTCTAATAACTTATAAACAAAATAAAGTTCAACATCAGTAACATCATAGCACCACCCAGCTGTATAGAAACTCTGTCATGCTAGCTAGCACGCAGTATGGAAAAAGTCAGAATAACGAAAATAAACTCCACCTACACTTGGTTCATATCTGACCCAGAGAGACTGCAGTTTATAACTTCTTACCTGAGGTTCAGTTCACACTTGGACCGGCGGCCGCCTCGGGTCTCTTTTCCTTCTGCGTCCCTTTTCCTTCATCCACCTGCTGGCCTCCACCACTTGCTAATGTTACTGAATCTGTGGAAGCTCCGCGATAGCCACTACACGAAGTAACGAGTAACGACCCTATCTAAATCCCAGTAACGAGTAACGCGTTCCTGATTTTGGCATAATAACTAGTTACCGTGCTCGTTACCACAATAATAACGTAGTTACTGTAACGCGTTACTTAATAACGCGTTAGTCCCAACACTGAAGAAATCAGGAAAGGGGCAAATACTTTTTCATTGCACTATAACAAATCTCATTGCAGTTATCTCTTTTTACTTGAAGTGTTCAAGTTGTAAGTTTGCCTTATAGTTAAAAGAACTAAAATTTAAGAGTAAAACCTCTAAAATTGATCCAGTGGTTGGAATTCTGTTGTAAAACTGCCGTGTCCTAAGATGAAAATGATGGGAAATAAACTGAAAAACTTTGACATTTTTAAAACTCAAGTGGCTAATGGAATTTATTCATTTTGATGCATGAATCCAAAGGGGCAGACATGCAAATAAATGGCGCTTGTATCCAGCATTGAGAATGTATTCCATTATATTCTATTTATTTATACTGTACTTTTCTTTATTTACATTTTCCGTTTTCTGCTG